GGTAGCAAGAAACTTGTAAAGGTTGGGATAAACCATAGTTAGTAGAGGAGACTCAAAATCATCGCCGAACAAGAATAAGTCGTCTCCTGCATCCGCCATCTTTGAAAGTGTGCACCGTCGCGATCACGTGACAGGTACGTTCAACATCAGAAGCGGCCCTATTGTTTCGCGCTTTGAAGATTGCCGACTTTCATAACCAGTCTCCTCTACTAACTATGGATAAACCGAAAACTTTACATTTTGTTTGTAACAAAACAAGTACGCATTCTCGGGTTTTCCATTGCTGGCCTCAATAAATGTATTCTACATGGAAAAAAACGACAAGCTGTACACGATCTTGCGCATTTTTGTTGTTCACTTCAGTAAAATTTTCATTAAATTTCCAGTGGGTGATTATTTTAGCTGAACTTTTACGGCATGTATGCTAGGTTAATAAAATCGTAAGAGAGAAAGAGAGAGAGAAGCTGAAATGCCACGCAACTGATGAAAGACCTGAGGTGTTGAGTTCGAGCAGCAGTTTGTTCGTATCAAGTCTACATGCACTTGAACCATGTTGCACGTTATTTAAATACCGATTCGAAAACATTTAGTATTCAGAGAAAATGGATTTTATGAGTAAGCAAACAAATTTATATACATGGCTCACCAAAGCGTCTCAATCTTACCTCAAGATCTCTTGCTGTAGTTACTTCAAGACTGATGTGGGGAATGGAACTTTCTCGGAGACCAATTATATTTAACTTATTCCTGGCACAGCGTCAGAGCAAACAATGAAACTATTTCCTTTATCAGTGAGAACAAAAAAATGCACGACAATAGCCAAGAAATGGATGGCGTCTTGCAATGGCAAAAACAAAAGCTTCAAAGGCAAAAGTTCCCGCTGGAATACTTTGCTCCGCGTCGGTGGGCAAAACGCAAATTGGGAAAGTTAACTATAGTGAATTACCACCTATTACGCAGGAGCGCTGGTGTTCAATGAAAAATAATTCAGCATCTCATCTTGTTAGAAGGAGGACGAAGATAAACATTCAAGAACTGTGATAAGTGCGAGCCGAGACTCCGAGTCGAAAGGAAGCGTGGCTTGTAACTTTTAATTAGCAATGAGAATTGATAGATTTCAAGTTTGATAAAATGGTTTAACAAACTTAAGGCAATGCCCTGGAGACGTTCAGATTTTGAAGTTTCAATAGCTTTTCAACAAGTTTGTTAGAGAAATTGCCTTAAGTCTTAAAGGATTACATGAAAAGATGACAAGAAAAAAGGCGGGCGAGGAATGGCTTGGTAACAGGGGGGTCCGCATTGAATAACTTGACGGGGCTATTCTAGAAGTTGAAATACGTGATTTGCTTTACATTTCTGGTGTATGGCTGTTTCAATCCTAGGGCGTAGCAGACGGCTTTTAAACCCCGACTGCAGAATTTTCAGCTCCTATGCAAAGACTGATGGCATGTTTAAAGCGAAGGAATGCGACTCAACTACGTTGGCTCTTTAAAATTCGCCAAGGTAGAGTATTAACCTTATTAAATTCCACGCGGTTGTCAACTGAACCAAAGCGGCAAAATATGTTTTACCGGAAACTTAGAACATTATTCCCCGGTGTATGTGGCTTAAGTAAAGAATAGACCTTGTAATTTTTGTTAAATGTTTTCTTTAAAGGCTGTGTATGAGTTTAACTTTGTTTGTGTTTTGCTTTTGCAATGATATTTTCCCCGAAAGAAAAACCAAAAATCCATGTGTACACCAAAACCGAAAAAAATCGATCGAAAATTAGACAACATTGTTTTAGTCAAGATTTGGTAAAGCATTTGACAATAAAAATCTGCGATAAAATATTATAAAGCATGACACTACGTTTCGACGTTTCCAGAACGTCATTATCAAGTAAACTAAAATAATAAAATCGAGTATATATATATAATGAAGCGGTGAATAAATTACAAAGCGTTAAAAGTTAAACAAAGAGTTTGGCCCCAATGGAATCGCTCTGGGTGTTTAAATTGGGCCTTATTGTTCTTATGTACAACATTTCATAAACAAGACAATCCCATTTCGTGCCACATTTTTTAAGCATTCTAAACTGGCTCTCATTGAGTAAGTCAATGTTCCCATGGGCATCTCTCAGGTGGCGACCAATGGCAGAGTATCGATGATCAGCAATGCGTTGAAACAAATGGCGCGTCGTATATCCGACGTAATTTGAATCACACAAATCACATTTAAAACAGTAAACAACGCTATGCTGATTTACGATGCGTGGCTTGATTTCTTTAAGCTTTAGGTCCTGCTCAAGTTTCTTGCTGGTGTAGACTGGTTGTACATCAATGCCAATTTTTGAACTGAGATCGCGCATTTGTCTTTTGGCAATGTTCACTGAGACTTGATCTTTGAAAGGAATACTGACTCTTAAAGTTTCATCAGAGACAGAAGAAAGAAAACTGGCGCGAAATAAACACAACGAAATAGAATGAAACGCTTTAAGTTACTCGTTTCTCTTCGTGAAGTCTCCTCATCTCCAGTGCGTTCAAGGGAGGATAACAAGTCTGCAAAACATGAGAACAAAAGGGTATCAACTGATTAATAATGGTAATAGGACCGAGTGGAGTCTAATTCGGCCTGTAATCATACGAGTGATCAACAAAATCGGATGACCGCAAAGCGGGAGTCCGATTCGTCAATCACGAGTATGATTACAGACAGAATTGGACGACACAAAGTCCTGTTACCAATTAATTATAACTATTACAATTTCCGAAAACAACAAACACATTTAGGACAAATATGTGCAGTAAAGACAATTTTTAAGTAAAAAAATTCTTCAACTTTTTTAGAATAAGTGGTTGTTGCTATGGTTATTGTAATCAATTTTGAGATTGATGAATTTGACTGAAAGGATTCAGTATGATTGGCTGCTTCAACTGTCCGATTATAGGTGTCTGATTACAGCCAACTGTCCGATTACAACTCTACATAATGATTTGTGAAAAATAAAGCAGCTACTGCACCAATCACATTTGAGGAAATTGTAATGGTTATGATCAATTGAGAATATAAATAACCGCCAACAAACTTCAAATTGGACCAATATCAAAAGAGGTTAAAAACTACGACGATAACGACACAAAAGCGCTAAAAGAGGAAAACAAAAGCTAAAAAAAAGGGAAAAAACTAGTCATCCTTGATAGCTGCATTTCCTGGCTGATCAGGCACAAATCTTTTTTTCCTTTTACATTGATAAGCAATCAGTAAGAATCTTGAAAATCCAGGCTCCTTGAAAAAAAGAGACAGAGCATTTAAGCACTTTGCTTAATCTCGCTCATGGAGTAAGTTTCACTATATATAATTAAATACGCCTGAATCGGGCAAAGGTGAATTTCCATTGTTATTCTGAGACAATTCACATATCTAAAAAATGATTCCAAAAAAAGGAATGAAGACGGACGTCTATCCCTTTAACATTGTACGAAAACCCAAATAGATAAAAGCAAAAGAATAACGAGAAGGTACCCGAGGGACACGAATACAGCTCAACTAATAAACGCCTTACACCCTGACTCAGCGCACGTCGATGGTTTGCTGTGTTTGTAACGATCACAGATGCTCTTCACTTTAGTATGTCCCGTTTCGTTGGTGAACCGACGATCGTATGCATCAGAGCAATACGATATTGCCTCACACACTGGGCTCTCCATCGAGCAGGTTTCCATTTTGATTTTCTCATCATAATCGGCTTCGGCTGTTTTTTCCATTTCCCCTCTCGCCGCTACAGGTAGGGCACTGAGACTCTTTTAACAATTTACCCATGATAGAAATTAGTTACCCTCGCTAAGTTTATTAATACCCATTCCCTTTTCCCCTCTTATTATGCGCCAATTTATTCGAAACTATAATCCCCCACCCTGGAAATCCACGGGCATTTAATCATCGTCCGTGCCCGGGGAGTGGGGAATTTGAACCTTGCCTGGCTGGAACCAGAAAAGTCAAGTCTTTCCAGCGCAATACAAGTGGTGTCTTTAAATACAAATCTGCTTGAGGTAAATAGTTCACTTTCGTGAGCCAATGGCCCAGAAAAAAAGGTCTACTAGGCCAATGTTTAGAAAGGCGAGGTCGTTGAGTTCGCCTTTTAACCAAAAAAATGGGTGGGGCATTTGAACACAATTTTTGCTCCGTGGGGCGGTATTTGAACAAACCAATTCTCAAACGTTAAAATGCCCGGAAGGAGGTGGGGCATGTTGAAGCTCGATACATTATTGGCCCTTTAAACTGAGAGCACATTTGAACTTTTTTTTTAACCTTTAAAATTGTTTTAATTATCATTTTACATTGGTATCATTAAAAGAAACAACTTTATTAAATTGAATAAAATCCAAAGATGCAAATGTAAATTCATCAGTATCATAAGGTGTAAAATGGCAAAGCTATAATACAAATGATGTACAAAACTATTTACAGAATACTAAGATACCTTTGATGACCAGAAACAAGTTTAGAACCAACCTAAACGATATACAAACAGGGAAGCCTTTCCTTCCCCTCCTCCTCCCCCCAAGGTTCTCTATCGGTGGGCTGTTGTTCCAATCTCGAGCTCAAAGTCATTTCGGCTGCCTTGGAAATAGGCCTACAACCTGAACCTTGACAAAGGAATCTTCTCAAATTCATCTATTCTTTCTTTGCTTTCTGTACATGGACATGGTTTTTCCTATACACATGATGATGACCAAGAGGCTCTTTCATCGACAAGAATAAATATAAGAAAGTATTTAGCTTTTTCTGTGATTTTTCTATCCCCTCCCTCTCTCCCCCCGGAGACGTGATATCGAAGTTTCATTAAAATAATAGATTAAACATACTCCATTGTAATCTCGACGATGTTATTAAAACACTTGCCGTAAAACTACGATTCTAATTTGGAAATATCCATGAAACCTCAGAGAAAACACCGGAAGACGGCTTTTATGACTGAGAAATGCGCTCGACCTATCAGAGATTTTTTTTTATTTAACAACTGCTAGATCAAATTGATCAGATGGGTAGTACCACACTTATAAGCCAATCATTGAGCGATCGTGTAAAATCCATTAAAATACTGGATCACTGTCAACACACCAATGCAAATTAAGGAAAGGACTGGTTTCAAAAAAGTATCGGTCACAAGTTCACGAAAACACTGTTGTCCAGAGCTGCAACAGGAATATTTTCTCAGAAGGCAATCTGGTATTCCTCCTTGTTATCTGGTGATTCTGCTGAAACGAAGCGAGCTGAGTTCTTTCACAATAGCAGCCTTCTCGGCCTCTAGGCTTCCCACGTGATGACGAAGTTCTTCGAGCTGAAAAAAAAAATTGTTTTCCATTAATTCTGTTTCGTTGGATTTACGTGCCTACTCTACTCGGGGGATGGCTTTGTTGCCAGTCACTTTTTCGCTTTATTATTAGATTCATGAGCCAGCAAGTAAACCATTTTAACCCTCTAAACCCCGAGAGTGACCAGCATATCGTTACAGTAATACTCCCGAATCATTCATTAAGAGAATAAAGGAAATGATTACCAGTTAAGAAGCTTTGATTGTGTAATGAATTCTCCTTGTCAGTATCAAAAGAAATGTAAAGAGGAGAGTTTTGAGAATATGGATACTAAAGGTTGGGTGTAAAGGTTAAGAAATCGATCTACACCAAGAATGTTTTTTGTAAATTACTTAATGAACCCTAGCGAGATTCAGAGGACAGATTGACTATGGCACCACTATGATCAAGGGCTAAAATATGTTTTTACACGCTTCTTGGTATGATTACATATTTAAAATGTTCCAAATCTACGAAACAGAGGGATTTCTTGTTTGCTTCTGGTCACCATTCGTTGGCCAGTTTCTATGACTCTGTTAACTTATTTTAGAACGAAATTCGCACGTATGTAAGTAAAATACCGCTTCCCCCCCAACTTAACATTGACGTCAACAAATGTCAGGAACCTTTAATGCAAGGAAAGCTTGTGAAGCTGTTGTAGCAAGGATTGGGGGAGGGGAAGTACCGTTTTTGCATAAAAGTCCCGATCGTCCGGCTTTCTCAGGCTTTGCTGGGATTAAAAAAATTACAGTGTTTTGGTTTATTCTGTGCGCATCGTGAAAATAATTACTTCTGATCATACCCTGTCTCTTAAAAATATAGCGATTAACAATAACAAACAATAAAGAAACATAAGAGGTAAATCATTTCTTACCTCATTAACAAGTCCATTTTCCTCTTTCTTCGGGCTCCCAATGTCGGCAGCTGATCTGCTCATCGGCCCATTGCTTTGAGATCTGAAAGAAGGGGCAAATTAGGGAACTAAATTATAATAAAACTTTTAAACGTTTTTCTTCTTGTTTTCCCTTTTTTTTCACTTTTCTAAGACAATGTTTGACAAACAGGTGCTCATAGATCAATACAGAAAAGGAATTTACGTTTATCGTACCTGTAGGAGTGAGGTGGTGTCCCTTCTTTTGAATTCAGGATGGGTTGGCCATCATCCTTTGTCCCAGTCTTCGTACTATCAATACCTTCCAACCAGCTTTTGACTTTGCGAGGCGGAGAGGAAAAGCTATCATCATCACCAGAATAATCAGTGACAGCAGCTCTATTTTTTTCCATTTCAGTTCTACTGTGCCACGATTTACTTCTCAGTTTCACCGCAGTTTCATTCACTCGCTCCTTGTCCGGCGTATTTTCGGTCGATGAAAAGCTGTGTAGAGACATTGAGCTCGTGAGTTGATCACTTTCCTGCTTAAAGCTGACGTATTTCTTTTCTAGGGTCCTTTTTTCACGGTGAACGTCTTTTAGTATCTTCTCTAACTCACGAATTTCTCTCCATATCATTCTCTTGTTACTCTTCCACGGCTCGCTTCTCTCTCCTTGCTTCTCGAGATTATACTCTATCTCATTCTGGGCAATCTCCAAACGGGACTTCAACAGTTTGTTTTCGCGACTTAAGGCATCGGTCTCTTCCTGGTAGCTAGACAGCTTAACTTTATCCGACGAGATTTGTCGTTGTGCTTCGTGGAGCTCTAGCAAAATATTGCTATGGTCGTCCTGTGCTTTAATGAGTGCTTTCTCGAGGTCATTTCTTTTGTCTTCCATGCATCGAATCATCGCTTGGTCGGCCTGTGCCGCTGCTCTCAAGGCTTTATTTTGTCTCTCCGATTCCTCGAGGCGTAACTGTATTATTTCATATTCTTGATCGGCAACGAATCTCTCTGTTTTGTTTCCTCTATCGTTGTTCTTCGCTCGACGTACAATCGATGTCTCGTCGCCAGCAGTTATTTCTTCCTCTAAAATCTTATTCCTGTTTTCCAGCTCCAAACATGTCTTCTGCAACTGAAGATTCTCATTTTGCAAATCCGTGATTTCGTTGTTATATTCCACCCGCAAGTTAACAATGTTTTTCTCGAGCGACTCAACTCTTTCTGCGAGAAATTCACTCTCACCGTTTTTTCTCTCGTACTCATTTCTGATCGAAGACATTCCATCGTCTAGACTATCAAACTTCTCCTTTAGATCAAAATATTTCCTCTCATAGTCTTTCAACAATTCAAGTTGTTGATGAAGCTCAAAGTTTTCGCACGCGACTGAGTCGAGTTCACTTCGCATGCATTCTAAAATCTGATTTTCCTCATCGCTCATTTCTTCATCTTGGGTAACAAGTGCCTCGTATTTCTTCAACACTTCGTCAGAAGCGATCTGAGCAATTGTTTCTTGGAGTTTTTCCCTAAATTTCAGCGGGATATCTTCCAAAGGCGTTCCTTCGTACGCTTTCTCCAGCTTGACTTTTAAAGCTTCCAAAGTATCTACCTTCGCCTGTTCAACCTGTAACTTGAACTTGAGAGCTGTCTGCTCTATGGAGTTCAGGTACATCATGAAAGGATCGTCCGAATCTCCCTCTGCCGTATTACCAGTGCCTTTGCCATATAGTGCTCTCTCATACCTGTGGAGGTCCTCCCATGGACTGGACATAGCGTAAGTCTGAGATTTGTCAATTCCAGTTCCATTCGCCGGTGAATCTAATGTTGCCCACGTGACTGTGGTTTTCGGAGAAGAATCAAAAGTATAATCAGAGTCCTTCACCTGGATATCAGGCTGTTTGAGTTGAACGTGAGCTGGGGAAATTGACTTATTCGGGGACTCATCCGCAGAGCTTGAGTTGTGGCCAAAAATGGTGTCGAGTCCGAGAAATTGCACTTTTTTACCCGGCGTGGAGGCTTCTGACTCCCCTGTGTCGGGCACAGAGTGGTTATCTTCAAACTGCATCGTCTCATCGCTTGCCATCGTTGGCCCTTCGCTTGGGTGTGGAGGTCCATCCACAACCTGCATTGGTTCAACGCTTGCCAATGTTGATTCAACAATATCTGATGCTGTTCCGTCCGATAGATGCGATGGTTCAACACTCGTCGCTGTTAGCGACGCTTCATTATCTATTCCATTCATCTCTTCTTCATTCATACTACTGTTTTCATCGATTATCAGATGCTCCTCTTCACTAACCCCATTTGTAGTTCGTGAATCTACGTCTGCTCCATCAGTGTTCAGCCACGTCTTCGCTGCTGCCAATTCAGGAGGCATAAATCCCTTTTGAACAGCATCCAACATCAGCTCAAGAAATTGTTTATCCACACTTGTGTAAAGAGGTTCTGAAGTGGACCCGTCAGACTCCGGCAAAAGAGAGCCAAAAGGCTCCTCGCCATTCACTTCCAGAACATTGTCATTTTGATCCGCTGGAATAACTTGTATAGGGAAACTGTCTTTTTCTTTGGTGGTAACATCCTCTGAGGAGGACGTCAACGATATCCCCTCGATGGGAGTTGGTGACATGCTTTTAATAAACCGGGACTCGGGTAGTTTCTGAAATTAAACCAACATATTTCTGTTAAGAGCTGGTTTTCACAAAGCTTGTAATGTTCTGAAGTGAACTTCACCACAAAAAAAAAAAAGAAAGAAACACGCACACGTTCTGGCTGAAAAAAATCGCTCAATTTTCCAGATAAAAGAGACTAAGCTGTTTACGTAGACTGAGAGTTTAAGAACAATATCACGTTAAAACAGTGGTAATTAATTTCTGATAAGTTAGTTAAAAGAACGTACGAAACAGTGAGCTACAACAATGAAGTTAACAAGAGTTCTACAGTAGACTTGCGTACGATAAAGGTTAAAAGCCTCGCATGTAAGCAAAATGCAATTACGCCCTTTCAAATTCAAACGGATAGTGAATTAAGTATATAGGACTACAGCTCTGATTATAATGGACTTTTCAATACGCTTTAATCTCCTCTCGGTAGCCGTAAGAGGTTTACACCCCAAATCTAATAAATCTTCTTCGACGGCTGTGTGGAACATTAAAGACTTTTCCAGCACACACAAAGAAGGAAATTAAGAAATTAAAACAATGATTTTGTCAAAATATTCTTATAATTATAAATGGTTTGAATGGACGACATTAATTTAATAAAGTTAGAAAAAAACTTTATCAGTCTTTTAAAAAAGTGTTACAAACGTTATGCCGTTTTATATTAAGAAAATACACTTCTGGAATCGGGATCCTAAATCAAAATGTCATAAAAATGGCTTCAAGCGAAAACGCTTCAGTTCACGACAATTAACGATTAAAACACGCGACTGGTACAGAAATTTGCTACGGTGAAGCAAAATTTGGACAAGAAAAGTTACTTTGAAAGACAGAAAGAAAATTAGGACATTACAATTTTAGGTTAAGAAATAGGACCATAAAAGCAGTTGGTGCCTAAAAGAAGCACTGAGACAATTTCAGCGAATTTTTTGTGTCGGATCCTGAAGCACTCGAAGAATTTTGAAAGAAAAGTCAGAAAAAAAAAAGAGTTTAAAAACGCCCTACCTTCTGTAGTTTTGGAGTAGAAGCCAGATGGGTGACTGATTGAATACGCTCCTGTAAAGCCTTAATGAAATGGAAAGAGAAGGTAAATCAAGAATCACATCCGCATCGGATCAACTAAATTGAGCAAAACAATGAACATACGCATTGAACTCACTGTTATATTGATTTGAAAATTACTTCTGTTGTCAAGTAACATATAGTTCCCGCTGATATAGGGTTACGACTGCTCTATGTCATGAAATTTTTCACGGTGCGTTCATTGTTGAAGTAACGAGAATTGAGTAGATATTTACTGAAGTCATACAAAGTTTACCGTAAAGCTCCTGGGGGACCAAGAAGCTTATGTTCCAAAGTTTTCTAGAAGAAGCAGGAATTTTACGATCGTCAGCCCGAAATTTTTTTTTTCCAATCGCGTGCTTTTCATAAGCGATGTGAAATGTGAAGGCGAATATCTCGACAAAATTGAAAATCTTAATATAGGTAGTGAACCGAATAAAGCCCCAACACTGTCGGTGAATAAATATGTTCAAAACTGATATCTATGCACGTGAAAGTAATCTCATTTTCTCAATATAGACAATAAGTTCGTCTCTAGTGTAACTCTCACACTAAGATCGTGCTAAATCACGAGAGCTACTGGTATATTCTGGAAAACTAATTCCACGAAGTGATTTTGCATAAAAATGCAGCTAAATACGTTTCGTATTATGCTTGTTTAAGACAAGAAGGCTTCGTATAGGCCCTATCCATCCATGCAAGTATCCCTCACCTGATTTACGACAAATTACAAGTTGGTAAATGAATAGAATCGCTTCACTCTGATTGACATTTCTTTCTAGAAAGAACGAAACACTCCAGAAGTGCATCAGAGCAACGACACAAACATCACAGGTAGTGAAGAATGGACGGCTTAAAATTCAATGGAAACGACTTTAATAATCAAGCGTCACGGATGCTGAACAGAGAAACGCATTTGTTTCGAGAGCTCCATTACCATTATGACTACACTGCACACTGACGGCTAAAAACGTGACTTACTAAGCGAAACAAATTCTCTAACAATTTTTAAAGAAATTACTGGACGGATTTTCTTCCCAAACATCCTTCAAAAAGCTACGTGCAAACATTTCGTCCACCAATGAATTAAAACAGCTTGAAGTATTCATAAAAAAAGGTACAGAATTGCAACGCTGTTTTGCATATGACTTCTTGAAAGACCTGTGCCCTGAGGGAGTGGTCTATTTTGAGAAGCAATGATAGCGGACACAACGTGACCAAAGAAATACTCACACATGACAATACCTCAAAACCACAGAGTGGGTAAGTATTCTTGTTCATATACTCAAATATCCTTTGGAGCAGAATCTTTTCAAAGCATTTTCACATGGAAACTATTTGAGAACATAACTGGTTTTTAGTCCTAGATCTTCATCACTAAAGATTTTAGTGCAAAAGAGCCCAAATATTTAGCTGGCCTAAAAGTTTGCCGCTCATTTGTGTTAATAATTCGTAGCCTCTGACCACAGTCTAACGACAGAGGCCTACTGAAGCTTAACAAGGCGTAAGTTATTGTTTCGGCGCCTAAAATAAACTGTTATCATCTTCAACAAAAGCTTATACCTAAACTTGTATCTACAGAAGAGATTTAGCAACAACGAAATGTTTCCTTCTTAATCTTAGCGGCCAATTTTAAATAAAACGTCTCTTATCGGAAAGTATTTTCAATAACCGAACACTCTTACACAAGTAATTATCTTATTCTACTCAGCCGGCCCACATTTCCGTAATTGTTTCTCTCCTCAAAAATGCCAAGAATTGGCCACAATATATAAGTATCATTACAAAGCATGACCAGAGGCTCTCAGGACAAACGACGAAACTAGCGGTTTCAACAAAAGCCAGTTACTGTCGGTCTGTCGCTGACCGTAAGACCTCTTACCGCCGTCTGTTTCGCCAGCAAGCTGGCTCTCGTGTTTAATTTGGGTTTCGCCTTACGGCCCCCTAACCCTTTACACCTTACATCAGCATGCATATTCTCCATACTGTTTCTTATACATTTCCAGAGGTGCTGACAAAGAGAATTTGTGTCACAATCAACAGCTTTTTTTCAGTTGATGATCATTTCCTTTATTGTCATGACCTTGATGTGTGATTTAGGGGTGATATTGCGAGTCGAAGGGTTATCCGGGCACAGTCGTCTATTGCACCATTGGTAGCCGCTTAGGGAAAAAGTTATTGAACTCCTGTGAATCTTTCAATAATCAAATGATCACGAGTTCCAAAATTTAACTAAGGCGCTACCTAAAGCAAGAAGACATTTGACACACTTCAACGGTCACTACCAACTGCAATCGTGACCAACTAATTACAAATTAAGTCCACAAACAAAAAAACAGATTAACAGCTTGAAATGTAAATGGTAAAGGATTCAAACATAATACGGGAACCAGCAGGCACTCAGCTTAGCCGAGCCCATTTACTTCAAACTTTGCTCTCTACGCACGTGTATCTAACTGTTATTATATCTTCCAGTTAGTGCGTGCGCTATGATTGGTCAATTTGGCAGGCCTTATTTCATTGTACTCGGTGCTAACTTTAAAACTTTGTTTGAATTGAAATCTTCCCCTTTTATTTGAACCCAGTTCTCTCGGTCTGTACTGCTACGGAACCTTGTTTTTTCGACTCAGATTTATAGCTCGCGCAAACTCTGAGCGGAAAAAACTCGGTCCTCAACTTATAGAGGGGAACTCGAACTTCGTTAGTAAGAGTTATTTCATAGAGTGTCTTGGACGCAGACAACAGCGGAAACCAAAAAGCTACACAATGAAATAAATAAAAATTTACTAAACCCGATTAAGTTTGAGAAAACATGAAAAAAGTCCGTCCACTTTTTTCGACGCAACCTCAGTGAATTCTGGCTATCAATCACAAGTAACCCTGAGAAAACATTTTCCCTTAAGTCATATCAAACTATCTTGAACTATATACCCTTAAAATTGTTAATCATTATTCCCTGCAGCACTTAACAATGCACCAACGTTTGGAAGCCTTCGAGGGTTGACTGGCTGAACTTCTCGATTCAGTTTGTTAAAAAGACTGAGACATTAGGAGCACCTTGATTAGTCAAAAACCTATCGTTTGTTGCAGCGCATAACCAATTGAAATACTGAAACAAGCTTATTTTATAACAATAAAACGCACTTTTTATCGATTTACCGGCACATTAACCCACTTGGAATGTTGTGAGGACACGAAAAGTTTGCAAACCACTTACCTCGCTCGTGACTTACAAACTTTCTCTCGAGTTCTCCAAACATCCCGCGTGGGTTATTACGCCAGTACCCTGGGAGAAAGTGCGGTCTACTGCATATTATATATAATAAATATTCTTTCCGGCTTTGAAGACATGCCAAGTTTCCAGATGTAAAATACATTTATTATGAAACAACTCACATGAATTGCTGCATGAGACTTTGTATGCTGATCAACAAGATTCCTCAGTGATGTGGGAGACACTAAACATGAAAGACGCAAAATAAACAATAACTATGTACACCGCTTGAAGAGCTACATTATAAAATAGGACTTTCGTCAATGTCCAAATTTCAGTGCGAAATTCTTTCAACGACTGGCTCTGCAAAGCTGGTTTACTGGCTTAGAAGATACTGCACTCAACTACCTGGTCATCAACTTAGAGCGCTTTTCGATTGAGAGCCGTAAAACCAAAACCAAAGTAATCACAATGTCCAATCAGAAGGAAGCAAAATAAGAAAAACTGCCTAAAGCGCGGGAAAACGCAGGCGACCAGGTCGTGATTGGTTTTAGTTTTGCATCTGATTGGTTGGGAGAGTGGCGCGAGTTTTCTGAACCAATCACAGAGCGAAATACGGAAAAATTTATCTAATCCCGGATTACTTTAACACTCAATCGAAAATTTCTCTAACACAACAAATGACCAAGCTAGAATTAAAGCACTCGACTGACCCACAACTCCTCTAGGATGACCTCCTCAAAGGTTTTCAAAACGACAGTAAGAGTCACCGACTGACAGTCCATCTCAGAATTTCTCTCAACCTCACAATCAGACGATGCAATCAATTTTTACTCTAGTAAGTTAAAAATAGAGTAGTATAATATAGTTATTATATCGTATTATACATATATATAAACAATAAAAGTTACACTTACAAGAAGAGTCCATCGGCGAGGTCTTGTTATGTGGAAATTTGCTCGGGGAATAGTTGAACGAACCGTCTCCATTTAGGTGATTCCTCTGTTTGGATGGAGAAGGTTCTGTTTTTACTCCTCCCTTAATTGGTTCTTCGCCTTTCAGGGCACAAATCTACATAAGAATTTAAGATGATCAAAACATTTCAGTCGGTAACAGGTATGTGAGGACACTCTCTTTCCATGCGAAGAAGAAAAATACAACAGTGATGCAAGACATTTTCGAAAATGACGCCAGATGGTACTCGAGGGGCAAACCTCTCTCAGTAGTTTAGAATAGAAATCTCTTCATCATTTAAAAATTGCAAACGATTTTAGGTTGTTTCATCAAGACTTGAGAATTTTTAAGCCTCTTTTAAGTAGTATTAACGAGATCGGCATAGAGCGCACGTATTGTTACCTTTGTGGGGGAGGGGAAGGTGTGCATGAACAGGAAATAACGTGACTGGAGAGTAATAGCCTGCCGATGCGTGGGACGAATCCGTTAGGGGAGAGCTTACGATTACGCAATCGGTTACTAGAAAAGACAAACAACGGTAGCTATTACAGACAGCTCGTCGTTGCTTAACCATTTTCTAAATTGATATGTGATAAGCGTCCTGCGGTCTGCTAGGATCGCTTCAAAACTGTGCTGTGTGGAGATAAAATTAAGTCTACGGAGGGTAAATTTTGAAGCCGTTTAAGCAGTAGCGTGGAACATGGAAACAATACTAAGTATTTCCTTATTGTGTATGGCTGCTTTTTCCTTTCTGCCTCCCATATCCTGTAATTTGCGGTTTTCCCGCGATATGAAAGCAAATTTATGGCATGAATTGTCCCACGCAAATTGTCTGTTAAAATTGGTCAAATAACTGCATGAACTTGATGTTATCGATAGTGCCAGTACAATGACAGCCAATGACAGCTCAAAGAAAGCCGCTTTCATTTAAATCAGGTCAGTCATTCGGATTAAGAGAAGTGTCATTCAATATCTAATTTCCCTACAGCACACCTAGAAAGCATAAGTTTCTTTCAGTTTAGTCTCACGTCAGGACTCAATATCAATTGAGTAGCCAGTTGACTGGTTGATACGCCGTTAAATAAAATAAAGAAGCAGGGTTTTAATTATAGCTTTTTCCATAAGCAGCCGCCGATGGTGTTAAGGCAGCTGTGCCTTACAAAAGAGGTCGTAAGGCGGAATCCCAACACAAAGCCTGCTCGCAAGCTAAACTGACAGTGGTGAGAGATCTCATAGGCGGCGGTACACGGACGCTAACCAGCTTTTGATGAAACACCTAATTAGAAGTACAGTCAACTCTCTCGTTAGCGAAACCCCTCAGGAATTGGAAAAAGTGTCCTTTAGTAGAGCCGTCTGCGTACGGGAATTATTCCCATTAGCGGACACCAAAGAAAATTAAGGTGGTGTCCGCTTACGGGAGAGTGTTATGTCAGACTCTTTCAAATGCCAAACGGAGAGCTTGCTTCCCCACAGACAAAGAAAGATGCCACAAAACCGATCCCCACTATTCTGTTACCCTGTCAAAGGTAGATCTGTCCGCTTACGTAAGTGTCAGTTAGCGTAGAGATGACTGTAGAAGTCTTCAGGCCTTTTAGTGTTGAAACGCAGTGTTCAGTATTTCCCATTTATAAAAAACGACTTGTGAAAGGATAACCATTGAAAAATAAAGCAAAAACGGCAACAAATATTACGTATATCAAGCGCCCCAAAGTTGGCGTAGAAAAATCGAAATCAAATTCGAATATATAGAACAGTTGCAGTGAATTTACCGTTAAAAGGTGAGTTACATAGGAAAGTAGGATTTAAGTATCTAACACAACAAACCGTACGCTAGTCATTGACCCACTCACATCAGCCAACAAGATGCGTGAATTTCCTACCGTGCGAAAAACTTTAAATGTTCAGAAACGATCTATTCAGTTGCCTGTATTTCCACGGCGTACTATTCAACTCCCTCTCAAAATCAACGATATAATGTATTCAGGAGTTTTTTTTTTCTTTTTTTTTTCGGGGGGGGGGGGGGGGAGGGGTGTAAAGGGCTTACTCGCGGTTGTGCGCTTAATCGAATCAATACCTAACAGTGATTTTACTTCTAACTAACCTTTCGTCTTAGTACAGCCATGTAAATGATAACTGCATATTCATCAAACGTGTTTGCATCCAAAATTCCTGATGAGCTATCAAATTGAATGCAAAGAAAAGTACTATTTATTATACTGCTGCAGTAACTGACTTCCCTAACAAAAGGAACATTAGCTACAGACAAAGATAGAAACAGACAAACAAGCAGACAGGTAGAGAGCCAGACAAACAGACTGAAAAGCACAGACAGTGTAAATACGGACAGAAAAAAAGACAGACAAACAAACAGACAGGCAAACATAAAGAGAAAAAGACAGACAAACAAAAAGACAGGCAAACATAAAGAGAAAAAGACAGACAGGACAGAACATCAAGCAGACAAGTGAGAGAAAGATAGACAAACAGGCAGATAGACAGACAGATAGATAGACAGAAAAACAGGCAGACAGACAGACAGACATACAGATGGACAGAAAGGCAGACACACAGACAGAAAGGTAAAGAAAAAAAATAAAAACTATCATAAAATGACAAGTAAATCAACCTTTATGTCTGAAAACTCCTGTTACCTGAGGATTTTGCAAGGAATTCCAAGGCAGTCCTCAGCAGTTTCCAAAACAGTAACAAACGCATCTTTGTTTATCACCTTTAGAATCAAACAATGATTAAATTTTGGTCAAATACAAAAATCAACAAAAAAACAGCGACTAAACAGAAAGTCCATTTCATCCATTATGACACCAACCACATGAAATCAATAAATAATTATTCAATACATATTGCTGACCTGTAAATCACTTATGTTGATTCCATCAACTGGACAGTACTTGGTAATTAGCTTGGTGAGCAGAAAACCATCCTGAAGACTGTAAACAAGGAAAAAATCAAATTAAATTATAGCCACCATATTTTAAAATGATACAGTGGAACCTCTCTTCAGAGACATCTCCATCACATGAACACAAATTTTGGTCCTCACAACAAAATAGGCAGTTGATTACTTACAAATCTAAAAATGGTCCTCTGGGGTCAATTGCACTGTTTGGTATTTCAGTGCAACACCATTCCAGAAGAAACCTCTTTCCTAGATTCACTGTTCGCTGATAAGCAGCACGATCTATTAAGTAAAGAAACAACAATTCCGTATGGAGACAGATATTACATCAGTCTAAAACACTACAAAATACAATAATTACTGGCTATATTTACGACACAATATGCTTTCCTTTTCAATGAGAGTATAAACACAAAAGGATTAAAGTACAGTCACAGTTAGCCTACAAACAAGGCCTCATTATGATCTACTTGGCACAAGCCTTTGACTGGCTGGGTCAAGCAGTGACCCCTGGAAAACCTCTCTCCTTCTCATCTCAAATCTTAACTCTTTAACTCCTATGAGACATGACAGAATTTCTCCTTACAATATCAACCAGATAACTGATGAGAATAAAGAAAAATATCAATTTGGGGCTAATTGGTTGATCCAATTCTAAATTCTCTGAACTAACAATATAAGAATTGTAGGGTTGACAGTAAGGAGAATTACAATTTTTATCTCAGAGTTAAAGAGTTAAAGCAGGGGAGGGGGGAAGGAAACACACAGTGAGTATAGACTAATTAGGGGTATCTTGGTACAAACTTATTTTCAAGGACACTCAACAATTTAATTCTAGTGGATAACTATTCAGCTGTGGTTAGCACACCCTTTCACTGCCAAGAGTGACCAGAGAGGAATTCCTCTTCACATCATTTTTCTGGCAGAAAGGCGACAAGAACAAAGAAACAATAATATCAACTGAGGGATATTGTTTGATTTGACACCAAATTCTTGGAGCAACAATCATAATAAGTACAAGAAGACAAAACAGGGAATTTGAATCATTCCAAGTATACTCCATGTTGCATCTTTCAGTAGCTGTACATTGTCCTGCTATGCAAACTTTTAATTTTTGACAATCAAACAGAGGTCTTCCCCAAAAGAAGACATAAGTCCAATGTTAATAAATTTCATAATTATGCAGAAGCCTGTGGGCATGCCCTCATTACTAGGGCTTTGGCACAAGCATTACTTTGCCCTAAGGAAAGCATGAGGCCTTTAAAGCAACTTGCAAGGTCTTCCAGGAGTCTAGAAGACTTAAGTTGCAGAACCCTAGCAAACCTCTCCTGACTTGTCTCAAATTCTTACTTCAACAGAGAAATGCATGTCCAAGGGCCATCTCCTAGGCTCATTTTACAGCTCAAATGACCATGCACAGGGTAATTGAACCACCCCTTGATTGAGTGATATCCAGATGAGTTGATTTGTGACGAAGGCACTAGCAGAATGTGCCAAATGTCATGTCAGCGACGACCATTTTGAATTTTGGCAATTGCGTGGAACCTGCTTGGGAACTAGGTTGACGGAATCAACTAAATACTTTGCGTGGGATCTGGGGTTACCAGAAATAACTGTATACACTGAACTTGTGATAAAGAGAACCACACGGTTTATCTAACGAACATGAAATGTGTTGATCATAACAACCAGACTTGAGAAGACAGCATTGCTTAAGTTGTTAGACTTGTACCTGTTTAGCTTTATTTATGAAATTAAGACTGAAGAATTTACTCATCAACTTACAAATCAACTCATCTGGATATCACTCAATCAAGGGGCAGACTCGACTTGATGGGGTCGAACTCAAAAAGTGTGGGGGTGAACATGGTATGAGGTAGGGGCAAACTTGATAGGGGGCGAAAGCGGTGGATACTGCACAGGGCTCCAAGTTCATTTTTTCAAAAAGTTGCCTTTCAGTGACTTTCAATTGAAAAAATATTTGCCATAAAAAATTTTTACTCACCCCATAAACCCTCCCCCCCCCCCCCCCACTTTTACTCCCAAAATTTTTTTCAAATCTCACTTTTTTTAATTGATCTGTTGGTCACCAACTGGCAACTTTTTTCAAAATTTTAGTGGCCAAATATAATTTTCACTTGCCATTGCAACCAAAATGGTCACAGCTTGGAGCCCTGCTGCATGTTTCCATAGAAGGGCTGGGTTAGAAAAATATAATTAATATTATTATAAGATAATAATTGTTATTTATAATTTTATCTCTGTACACAATGTATGTTACTCACTGGCACTGTGTATTTCAAAATGCAAGATAATAAGCCACAAAATGTCCAAGATAGATTTGAGTTTCCCACTTGCAATATCTGAATTCAAAATGATGGAAGAAAATATGATGAGCTACAACAACCATAATTTAACCTCAGCTGACTACAACAAAACAGCCTATTACAATCAGAAAAAAGGACATTCATCAAAGGTGATACCATTTTGAATTGTTTTAGTGAAAAATAACTTCATCACCTTCCACTTGACAGCAGATGACAATTCCTTTGACCTTCATGTAATCTATCACAAGCTGCACTGTTTGGTGTGACTGTGGCAATTCCCTGGCCTGTATCTGTGTTTTAGAGAATGTGTGATATCAGTGGTGTAAATATGGTTAAAAAAAGATCTTCAATGAAAGTAATAAACTGCAAATGAAAATTAAGATCTCAAAAAGGTTACTTTGCAAGAGGAGGTTATCACTCTCTTTGATCAAAGATGAGTTGAAAATTATAGTGTAACCTGTTGGCCTTGACTAAGTTCATATCCTGTGGTTGACTTGATCAACTGACTCAGTATGACACCATCCTTTAAGTCATCTGCTAGGTCAGTAACTCTTCTGTTATCACCAACATCAGCTAAACAGCAATTCACCCAGGCCTTATATACCTACAAGAGAGTCATAAATTATGATATTTTAATGTCACTGTTAGTACATATAAATCCACACAGAAGCTCAGCTAAGTGTCTTTAAAGTGAAATTGTTTAACCCTTTGACTTCCTAGACTGACCAGCATCTAATTTCTCCCTACAATATCATCCCTGAAAAAAACATTTGTGTACTGAGAATAAAGAAAATATGACACAAACTGATGAAGCTCTTGATTGTTAAACAACTTCTCCTTGTGAGCACCCGAGGAAATGCATAGAGGACAGTATAGAGAATATGGATATTGATGTTAAGGGTGTAAAGGATCAAAATGGTTGTATTGAGGGTGGGAGGTCATAATAGAGATTAAGGATGAAAGAACAAGCTCAGAGTCTAAGTTGCTAGACTCTAATAAGGGTTTGAGGTTAATGCTCTCCTAAATTACTAAAAACAATGCAGTCGGTATTTCTACACCTTCCCTCCCCTTCCCTCACCTTAACGAGAGTCTTTACGACACCTGAAAATTTTTGTGAGTTGTTTTAATTAATAGAAATTTGAGTATTTATAGACACGTTGAATGTTTTTACTTAGCTCTGCAAGAAATCAGTGGAAGTGTTTTGACAACACCAGATTGTAAGAAAATAAAATTTATAACTTCAATATTGTTCATTTTACAGAGTTCATAAATAGGCGCCAATAAAAGTAGTGCGGATACTACTTGTAATCCTAAATATAAATAGGGTGTATGTTAATACGTTAATTCTGCATTGCTTCTTCTGTAAATTATTTAATTTTAAGCTTAACGTCCGTATCTGATGAATTGTTTTTATCTGAGGCCGGGGGTGTAATTGTAATAGTTGCCTTGCTATTCATATTTTTCATACATTCAGCAATGTTAATCCTTTCTCGGATCAGAACAGCTTCTGTTTCCTTAAAAGGCAGAACGATTTTGAAAATGTCACTACTTCGCCTGAGTTTCACATGACGCCAGCTTATCAATTTCAACCGGATTAATCGAACCTTCTTGAAGGGGTTATATAGCTATATGATGCCAAATAATTAAATTCTTCTCTTCGTAAGATGTGTTTCACCACGGAAACTAATACTTAATTGTTAACTCTTAATGCTAGATCGCTAGATCGCTCCCGGCAATATGGAAATAATTTTTTCGCATTATACTGTCTTGTATACAACCATTGCGCGCAAGAAGACAATGCAGCGTTCTTATTTATCTAGAAATAATTCGAATGTTTTTATAGCTCGATAATATCACGATAACCATTTTGACATACCTCAACTGGCGATCCAGATAACTTCCGATGTAATGCCATTACATCTCGTAATTGAAAAGGCGCGATGTTCTCAACGGTTTGATTCTCAAATCATCAACACCAAAATGCGACCAGCGAAATTTACGATCGGACGCCAAATACAGCCAGTTGTTGTGGTACAGCTATCACAATTATCAAACGTCAGCCCTTGGACGTAATACGATCTATGCTCAGTCGAGTGGAAGAAATTCTGGCATAACTTTCAAACGAAAGTTTTGAAAAATTCAAATGAGTTTGTTCAAGGTCCGTAAGAGCTCCCGCCTCGCTCGATTGAACAAAGCTGTCAATAAATACCGCATAAAACAAAGGATCATGTAACCGAAGAACAAAAACAGGAAATTAGGAAAATAATCACCAGCTGCTGGTAGTTGAGTAAGAGTTCAAAAGGTGTTCAACCCACACAACTGGCAGCTTTCATGAAGTCTTTAAAGATGTGGAGCGAATAAAATCCTGAATGGCGCGTTGTATTATATTGCGTGACAATTAGTCACGCAATCATACTATGGAAGATTTCTTAGTTGTTTGTTGTTTGAATTCTTTCAACTTTCAAAAACGATAGACATGAAGCAAAGTAGTTGCACAAACTAGGCAAAGATTTTTGAAAAAGAAAAAAATACTCACAACAGCAAAGATATTAAAACAACCACAGGAGTATAACGCATAAAGCGCAGCAGCGGAGCTTACTCATACGTAAGGAAATAAGTTTGAACCAACACCAACTTGTGCGACCGATGGATGGGACGCAAGACAAAAAGCTGGTGAACTATGGCCACTTTAACAGCGTTATCTGTATACTCTTGTAATCATGGAAATGGTGGACTAGTCCAGTTTGTCGCATAAACAAACGCTACAGGTTATTCAGCTTAAAATTTGATAAAGTCAAGCGCGTGGCATTTGAAAAGAGACCGCAAGAATCTGCTTCTGATGCCTATTTTACAGGAAACTCTTTTCAGAACTGTGGTGCTGCTTGAATTGAAGTAACTACCACGCAAGCTGTGAACGAGAAGAAAAGATTGTAAATCACGAGCCGAAGGCGTAGGATTTACAACTGATTTTTCTTGTGTTCTCCAAACACCCAAGCGGGTTTTTATGCTTGTAAACCGATAGAAAATGCTTAATGATCTATCAGAATACAGATTCACAGCTAATATCAGATATTTCTTTTTTTCTTTATTCTGTCCTTGTTGTTTGTCATGATACAGAAGCACAAAAATGTTTGCAAGACTACTCCGGACTAAATAAATGAAGGGCTAGACGTCAAACGCAGGTTGTGCCCTGCTGACGAACAAGAGAACTGAGGAAGAAGAAGAAAAAGAGCACATGAGGAAAAAACTAAAACGATATGATAACTAAGAGGGCCTTTGAATGACCTAAACTAAGTTTTTTCTACTGGAACTTTTATACACGTTTTTTCAAACATCCTATGGAAATATCCGTTCCATACCCCAACGCATGAAATCTCTACTGATTAGGATAATCCACTAACCAGTGCCCCTTTCGGCCGAAAGGAACGAAGCTCCTCGGTCATCGTCTCACTTTTTGACATTTTTGGGTATTCTGTTGATTTTTTCAGAGTCTGGTACAATTACAGTGACATCATAGTTATTGTGTGACTGGTGGAGTTGCGCTGAGTCTACTTTTCAAATTTAGAAAAATTGAAGAAGTCCCTTATAAATTGTAAAACCTCGAGGGCAAAATTACTAAATGCAGATTGGCTGAGACAAAGGACATTTTTCATATGTATATATTTTGGTAAATCCCCTGGAACAATTACTTGGAATGGAAAACTTAAAAAAGGCTTAAGTTTGCCTAAAAGTATTATAATTTCATCGATGGCAAATGTTTCTTAGCAGGGATGGTTTCATCGCTTTGGTGATGTTGCACAAAATTAAAAGATCATTCAATTGATGTGTGCAACTTTTTATACCACGCGTAACATAAAGCTTAGTTTTACCTGACCTCCGACGATTACCTATACCAACTGGTGTTTGAATTCGAAAGGGCGACCTTGAAACGTTTACATAACAGATAAAACAAAAAATCCCCAAATTAGACAGGTATAATACTGTAAGAAATGGATATCTACGGTCACAACTTCTTGTCATACGGAAGAAATGAGAATAAAGCAAATATACTTAAGAGATCGAAGCTGTGCTTGACTACAAAAAATGGATTGAGCTGGAAATAGCCTGATCCACGATACTCAAGTGGAGTTCGACCACTCGTTTACAGATCACGAGTTTCGACCTTCAGTATCTAGTCTTTTGCATGTGAATAACATGCAGATGGGGTGGAATAACCCGTTTATTGTTTTCCTAGGGAGGAACACACGGGTTTTAAACTACAGGGGCAAGTGACAAAATCGTGATCTGAGCACGTGCACAAAGCATGTAACGGAAGTGCAGAGCTATTTTGGGCAAACTGCGTCACCAAACGTTTTCGCTTTCGCCATGTGAACTCGCTTGTGCAAGCCTTTCATTGTAAGGAGTTGCGTTTTCAAATGACATATGTGCTTCAAGCATGCCAAAGTCTTATTATTATAGTCGAAGCTTTTGAGTTTCGGTTTCCTTTCTTTTGGAAAGCACGCAAACGATCGAACCCGTTTATCTAAATCACCGATTCTACTTGTTGTGAAATAATAACAACTTATTTTAAAATCTTTTTTTACTTCTCCGGATGATACAACGAGCTACCCTTCCTTTTCTCCAACTGGCAATCTCCCACTATTAGTTGATTATATCGACAACTTTGAAACGGATGCACAGGACGTTTTTCTCAGAAGCACTTATACATAGAGGGACCATTACCTCTGAGATTTCTACATGAATCTGAATCCTTAACATTTATTTTTAGACTACGCGTTAAAATAATTTATGAAGGGGGTTTGCCGCAATGGCGCAATAACTTGTGAAATATCAGATTATTGCCTAGACCGCAAATATTTCTGCTATTATTTAGCGATTTATATTTTCCTCATTTTCTATCTTTTAAGTTCTTTAGTTTCCTTCTCTTTTTGGCTTTCCATTCATTTAGTCACTTTCCACTAAAATAAGATCTTACAGATAGCATTTCTTATGAACAGATCACCGTGATCCAATGCCATTTATAATATTATAAGTGTCTCGGTATACTATCGAGTAAGGGCCCGTATAAGGGTCGTTGTCTCGAATCATAATTCTTTCATGCCGTATGGCTTAAATTGGTATGTGCGAGTACGTTAGCATCAGTGAGTCAGCGGTGGGAACGTGTCATTTCAAAGGGACATAATTGGTACGTAAAGTTGTAATCTTCATGTTCTGAAATGTTTTCCCTGCATATAAACTTTAACCCGACATTTTTTTTTATGAGTCCATTGTTATTGATTCGGGGAACACATCGCAATTTATGGTAAGATGATAATGGACTCTCTGAGCGGTGTTTTTTTTCTGTATTGTGTTCTTCCATGACTTCCGAGGCGCATACCGTAATCACTTTTTCCCTCCGCTTCCAAAGATAAAATTTCAATATTTTCGATCCTAAGCTGTTGTTGAAAAGATTTTTTTCAATGAAAATAAAACGAATAAGAGTATAGGTGCATAGCAATGGTTGATGGGAGAGGGGGTCGATGAGAGAGGGAATAGGTGCGCGCATGCACTGTTGCATGACATTATTTCCCCCTACGGGCTATTCTCGTTTTGATGCCGTAAGGGTCTTTTCTCTACGTTTGTCGGGAAATTTCCCTACTATATTGCGAAACACTGAGCTACTTAAGACGCATGTCAACAACCTTGATAACTTTTTGGTTGAACAAACGAGTCTTCTGGACGACACAAAATTCTCTGGGAAAGCCAGGAGCCAAATTTACCTCGTGTTTTGAAATGGCCGCAGAAGTGGATTGCGACGCTCTGAAAGCCGAAAACATCCGACTACGACACACGTTGTTCGTGATGGTCACAGATAGACAGAAAATGGCGTCCAAATTAACGGGCGTTCAGAACCTTGGACAACAACTGCAGAAGAAAGAAATAGAGAATAGTAATCTTAGAGAAAAAATTGAACGGATAGAAGGTTCTCTGGCGAGAGCAGAGAACAGAATAACTCAGTTAAGTCTTCAAGCGGGCAACGGCCAACATTTGAGCGGCCAAACCGCCATTGTTACGCCAGGAGTTTCAAAGAAGGTTTTAGAAGCATTAACTCGCGATAATACAAGACTAAAACAAGCTCTGGACCACTTAACCAACAGAGGACCAGCCGGGGTTGACTTGGCAGTGGTAAGTTAAGGTATTTCTTCTTTTGCAAAGGGAGGAGTTAGCGAGTCACAAATTTTAATCGTTAGGTAATCATATGTTGTTTGTGCCGTGCGTGCGTGTGTTTTTCTTATTCGGTTCGACTCTTACCATTTCACAGAAAGTCTCTAGATAGGAGTACGAGAATGGATAAGTATTCCTTCAGCAAGTATTCAGCAAAATAATGAGCTTGATATATCAGTTTCCTTTCAGCGTAAGTTCTCTATTACTGGTTGGGAATTTTCCCAAACCTGAAACAAACAACGGAAGGGCGCCACGCATTCGCGAAAAAATCTGCTTTGCTAAGCGCCTTTTTTTCTGCACGTACTCGCTCGTCTTCAATGATGATGAGGTTAGATTGTTCTTTTGGGATATTTCAGAGTAACAGCAAATGCTTTAACGAGGGGAAGGGTTTGAAATTTGGTTTTTCGTTGTGGTTTCCCTATGATGATATATGCATTTTTTTTTTCATCAAGAAACCGAAAGTAATTTGAATAAGGAAGGATTGTTCATAAGTAGGGGATTCCCCGTTTATTCTGCGTTCCCCGATTGGTCGTTTACAAGTAGATGGCCCAATAATTACCTGATACGGTGCTCGAACAGGTTTATACTTGTTTCGGTTTCTGCATGTTCATCATTACCCTTCAAAAATTTGTTATTAATTTTTTAATAAATGCTTGAGAAGCAAATCTGAGTGAAGAAACTAAATTATCTTACTCAGTTTTTAGATAACAATGAGTTAGATAACAGGTCCTGAACGTGCTTAAGCAGCAATTGAGTAGTTCTTGAGAGAACCCTCTCAGAATCTTCAATATTTTCATTTTGTATTTGGAAGAGTTCAACCAATATTTTATTATAGACCAACAATGAACTTCATTACATCCAGGTCAAATGAAAGTCTCAAAACAAAAATAAATCATGTCTGAGACATAACCCTGGTTTGAAATGACAAGTGCTGGGTCTGTCCTCAGTATTAAGTAAGGTGTCTTTTTCATCTTTTTTAGCTGCT